CTTGCTTGCTTAAGTAGCGATCCAAAGTCACGACCCACAATGAAACAAGTTTCTGAAGCTTTTCTGGCTCCAAAACCAGCGTTGGCCAAGCGCTTCCATTCAATCTCACTTGCGCAGCTCCAACAAATGAATCGAGTGAGTATGGTGGGAATGTGGATCAACGGAAACTTCATCAAGCCTACAAGAAGAGCAAGGACCATGAAGTACTTGTCCCAATAGTAGCAAATAAAATTCCAACCAGTGAAGAGTAGATTGATAAAATGATGCTGCAAATTGGTGATTGGGGTTGAGGTAACAAAGGATACGGCTTGTGCAATTTTAAGTCACGTCAAACTTTTTTTAAACTAGCTAGGCTAAAATCTACCTAAGTAGCAATGTGGAGTGAGAATCAATTATCTGACAGTCATTTATTTTGTCTTTTTTAGTAAGATCGGAATGCATGGTAAGTGATAATGTCTTGTTGTGGCCACGAAAATTAGGCAACATAAGGATATTCACTGCGTATTATTCCGGATAATTCCTGTTTAGTTGAAGACTTGCTAGTCAATTAAAGACGGCAAATTGAGCAACGTTTCCTTTTCGATGGCCAAGGATCCGACATCACGAAAACAACAAAAGACCACGACGATTACTCTAGACGGACCGTGTCTCTTGGCCGGGCAATCAATACATGTCCAAAGACCTTGACTTGTTGACTTTTGAGGAGCGTACTCGACAAAGACCTCGACTTCTGGAATTTGTGCAACTTCCATGTGTAAGCTGCTTCAACTTCTAATTGAATCATCATTAGTTAACCGTGAAGCTTACGATGGAGGGCCTGCCACTTCGCAATCACGATGTTGCGGAGTCAGAGTTAATCCATTATAAAGAAACAATCAACCGTATAAATTAACTTATGTCTTGAAGTTTTTAATAATGAACGCAGCCTTTAAATTTAATCAGAATGGATGAACACATGGACACAAAGACAAGGAAACCCATCGACATAAAACCCAAAAAATAAACAAAAGAGCCTTAAAATCATAAAATCATTCTTTTTTCCGCCTTAAAATCTCGTCTGCCGCATTTTCTGTATATCTCAAGCACACTTCCAATGAAAGAGAGTTCATGATGCCATTCATAAATTATGAATCTCCCCAAATGATCGTTATCGGGTTCAACCCACATGGAACGTGATCCAAAATTCTTCCGAAGATATCTAACATCTTATTCAACAAAGCTCTTATAGGAAGGCTCCATTTGTCTTGTCGAAAATATTTTTCGGGAAAACATTTTTCTTATTTTCTAGCCATTAGATTGCTTGGGAAAATAAGTTAACAAAAAATGTTCTCATTATCAATGGAAAATGTTTTCCTTTCAAAACTTAAATTCAGGAAAATGATTTCCTTTTTAAAAAATCGGAAATCATTTTTCAAAATGTGATTAGGTATCGGTACTTAGACCAGAAACACTACACTTGAGCACGAGAACCCCATTGCTCGTTCTCAGGTCCTTGGCAGTGGGGCCAGGTCTCAACGCTATGGCCCGAGTCCATATAGGTTGTGCTAGGGTTCATCGAGGCCGAGGTCGGGACACCGATGCCCATGCCCAGGACACCAGGCCCGGTAATATCGAGGTCAAGCTCAGGTCCTTGACGCTCGTGCCTGGGTCCATCGAGGCCAAAATTTTTTTATAAAAATTTCCTTACTAAATAATGGAAAAATATTTTCCAATTCATTTTCAGATCTCAACTAAACACTAGAAAATATTATTATTTTTCTGAAAAATGATTTCTTGAATAACATTTTATGGAAATGTTACATTTTTCGCGAAATAAACGGAGCCGAAGTCTTGTTCCAGCAGGACCATCTTACTTCGTTCAACCCAACGAAAGCCCCAAACAGCTGCTCTCTCTCTCTCTCTCTCTCTCTCTCTCTCATTCTTTAATTCATATCTAGGTCGAGTTAAGAGCAGCGGCCTCACGGTAGCAGCGGCAGTGGCGCGACTGCAACGGTGGCAGAGTGGCGGGCAGAGAGAGAGAGAGAGACATCTTTTACCCGATTTATCTTATGTAAATTGCCACCTGAGAATATTGCGTCATGGTGCATTTTTAAGTGGAGACCTGCCTAAAAGGGCAGAAAATCGTCTACTGCCAATGCTGTTATAATTATGTTTTCTACATTTGCTTAGAGAAGGCAGTAGATGTACCGACATGCGTGTGAAATTTGTGCTTGGGTACTATGGGATTTAGCGCGTTTTATCTACTAAAAAAAGAGTCGCCTCATTTTTTCATAGTTCGTTAAATCTTGTCACAAAAAAATAAAGATAAAATTGAATTTGTCAGGGAAAAATTCTATTGTTCTTGTTGCGGAAGCCAGGCGATCGAACAATAAAATTGACACAACAAGAAAATAAATCGGACACCAAATGTACGTGGTTCGATCGTAGTGACCTACGTCCACGGGGAGAGCAGCACAGAATTTTACTATAGATCAAGCGATACAATGGAGATTACAACCACACTCGAGTCACTCAAACCCTCTAAGTATTTCCCAAATCTCAATTATATTCAATATAACTCACGCAGTGTTTAGCCCCACAATTCCTCACGAAATAATCTCTCAATCTCGCGAAAGAATTAGACACAAATCTTACTACAAGATTTAATCGCTACTAACACTTAAATTCTTGGTGTAATTCCATGAACAAAATTACGAATCCAACACCAAGCACCCAGCACCTATGGATGTCCATGGCACTCAGAGAAAACGGTGCTTCGAGTCTGCTCACATCAACAACTGCGGTCGAAGGAGCACACGACAGAAAATTATATATTTGCCCAAGAAACGATCAGTGGCCTAATTCAACATGTAAAAGGAAGTCCATGCAAGATACGGTCAACCATTTTCCAAGATTTGACTTTCCTTTAATTTTCTATTCTCCTCGGCCGACTCCAAAGGATTATTTCTATCCTTGGTTTCAAAACAGAAATTACTTCTTTTCTTTTCTCTTAGCCAAACAACAAATCCACAATTTCCTTTTTAAGTATTCTTTCACCGTCAAAATCCGTCATCACGTTGGACTCCAATTTGTAGAGGGAAATCACGTGATTTGCTTTGCTCGATTCCGGCCGTCCGCAAAATATCCAATTCGGAATATTTAGATTTTCGCTTCGGGCTCAAATTCGAGACATATTTTCAACAGTTCTGCATATAAAAATGAGATTTTCTTTTTCCGAGTAGGTAAATTTCAATAAGTATTGTAGGTATAGAAAAAGATGCTGATAAACGACATTTTTCAGGTAACTTGTTGGTAATATTTAAAAAAGATTGGTAAAACCTGGCGAAATAATGTTGGACGTGTAGTTTTTGGTTTGCGGGGGTGCTGAAACTTGGATTGGTTCGCAGACTAATTCAACTTTGTAGTGATTAGTGTCCCTTTTACAGCCCTACGAGATGACGGCAACTCCATCATCTCTAAACAAAAAGGAAGGAAAAAGTCCAACAGAGTTTATTCTTTTTTGAGTCTAAGAGAGTTACGGTTGAACGTAAGTGTGTCGAGCCATTAAAAAGATGAACGCGTGAACCGTACAGAACGCGTTTCCTTTGACGCATCAGCACAGTAGCGTCTTCTTGTTTTACTTTATATAAGTGCGGTATAACACGTTACTGAACAACACCCTGTTTCTCCGACTACAGCGAAAGAAGAGGCCACCCCATGATGAGCATAATCTGCAACATGTCCTTAGTTATTATACTGATTACTTCTATAGCTTTCTCCTGCTACAATCCAATTGTTGCAGCAGCAGCGCCTGCTAGTGAGTCAGAGGCAAGTGCGCTTCTCCACAGCGGGTGGTGGCCTAGCTCCGTTACCGGCGACACTCCCTTACCTCATTGCGCGTGGCCCGGGGTATCGTGCGATGCCTCTGGGAGCGTCAACGGGATTCGCTTGGCAACTGCGTACCCAATAGGAGGTAATTTCAGCAACATGAACTTCTCTCTCCTTCCGAGCCTCACCTTTCTCCAACTCATTTACAGCGGACTGGCTGGCAAAATCCCCCTTCAAATATGTACTCTGTCAAGACTAACTCACCTTGACTTGTCCCACAATTCTCTCACCGGCGAGTTGCCTCCTTGTGTCCAAAACCTCACCAGGCTTGAAATACTTCATATCGGTCATAATCACATCAGTGGTTCTATCCCTCCCGAGCTGGGAAATCTGGAGAGATTGACCTACTTGGATCTCGGGTTGAATGCGCTCAGCGGTGCAGTCCCTTCGACTATTGGTCTCTTGTATAATTTACGATCTCTCATATTTAGCTCAAACGAATTAGGTGGCTCTATCCCTCTAGAACTTGGGAACCTCACAAAATTGGATGATATTGATTTAAGTGGTAACAGCTTCACTGGTCCCATTCTGTCGTCTATAGGGAATTTGACGAGCTTGACTTATCTCTATTTGCAAGGAAACGAATTCAATGGATCTATACCTCTGGAAATAGGGAATTTGATGAGCTTGACTGATCTCGGTTTGCAAGGAAACGAACTCAGTGGATCTATTCCTCCCGAAATAGGGAATTTGACAAGCTTGACTTATCTCTCTTTGCAAGAAAACAAACTCGGTGGATCTATTCCTCCGGAAATAGGGAATTTGAGAAGCTTGACTTATCTCTATTTACAAGAAAACAAACTCGGTGGTTTAATTCCGTTGGAAATAGGCAATTTAGAGAGCTTGATCGAGCTAAATTTACGGGAAAATATATTTGATGGTGTCATCCCATTGGAAATAGGAGACGTGAGGAATCTCGCATTTCTAGATTTGAGCTTGAACAACTTGGTTGGGAAAATCCCTGTTGAACTTGAGAATTTGAGCAGTTTAAGGGATCTCGATCTGCACAACAATTCTCTTTCTGGCTCAATTCCCACATTTAAAAACAATTACTTGTTACGTCGCCTCGACTTATCATACAATCATCTCAACGGCACAATTCCAGATAATCTCAGGGCTACTTTCCCTGATACCGCTTTTCTTGGTAACGAAGATTTGAACCAGTTTGACGAAACCCAAGCCCACAGAAGAAGGTCTAGCGTAATTCATTACATGACGAGGTTCATTCCACTGGCTGCAATATTCATTTCCTTTATAGTCGTTGGATCTTGCTTCCTATTTCGGCGTGCAACAAAGAGCGTGCAATCAAAGACTATAGAGAAAAATGGAAATTTCTTGTCAATATGGAATTATGACGGGAGGATTGCATATGAAGACATAATTAATGCAACAGAGGACTTCGACATCAAATATTGCATCGGGACTGGCGATTATGGCAGCGTCTATAGAGCACGATTACCCAATGGGAAAGTCGTGGCATTGAAGAAACTTCACCGTCTTGAAGCGGAGGATCCGTCCTTCGACAAGAGCTTTCGGAATGAAGTGAAACACTTGACAGAAGTAAGGCATAGAAGCATCATCAAGCTCCATGGTTTCTGTTTACACAAGCAATGCATGTTCTTGGTTTATGAATACATGGAAAGGGGAAGTCTATTCTGTACTTTGAGAGTTGACGTCGAAGCGGTGGAATTGGATTGGTCCAAAAGAGTCGATCTCGTTCGGGATACGGCACATGCTTTGTCTTACATGCACCACGATTGCACTCAGCCAATTATACATCGAGACATATCTAGCAACAACATCTTACTGAACAGCAAAATGCAGGCTTTTGTATCAGATTTTGGCACCGCAAGGCTTCTAGATACTGATTCCTTGTCTAACTTCACCGCAAATGTCGCTGGCACCTATGGATATATTGCACCGGGTGAGCAATACTTCATGCTTCATAAGTTTTTCTCTTTAATCCTGAAAGTTACTAGTAGAGGCACAAGTCCGATAAGTAAATATTTGTCGGAATAGTCAAGATTTCTCGATGTTATATTACATCAATATCGGTATTACTAAATCATTCATTTCTATTCAACGTTTTATTGTGGAAATTAAATTAATTGTTTTTAAAGAAAAATTGGAGGGGCAAATGGAGCGGGGTGGGGTGCTGTACATAGTTATGTGGGGTGAGGACGGGGAGGGAAAAGTTGCTCCTCCCGGGCAGCGACGGGGCGGTGGTAAAGGTGCAATCATCATGTTTGAAGCCTCAACTACCAAAATTTTTTATGTCTTTTGTATCTTTTTTTTCCAGAACTCGCATATACTTTGATTGTTAATGAGAAATGCGACGTATATAGCTTTGGAGTGATAGCAGTGGAAACGATGATGGGCGAGCATCCAGGAGATATTGTATCTACGTTGTGGACATCCTGTGGAGAAGATATCATGCTACATAAAATCTTAGATCCGCGGTTACCTTATCCAAGAGAGAACTCTATCGCAAGAAGTATTGTTCTGATAGTTTCTCTTGCGCTTGCTTGCTTGAGTGCTAATCCAAAGTCCCGACCAACTATGAAGCAAGTCTCGGAAGCTTTTCTAGCTCGAAAGTTACCGTTGGCGAAGCCCTTCCATGAGATCTCATTGGCTCAGCTCCGAGATAACAACAGATTATGGTTGGAAGGTCGATCAACAGAAGCTTCATCAAGACTAAGCGATGAGCAAGGGTTAGTAAGTGCTTGTCCAGTAAAGAGTTAGATTGATAAAATGATGCTACAATTTGGTGTAAGTGATATAGAACTGTGTGGCTTCTGCACATTATTAAGTCATGTAAAACTTTGGCTCCGTTCGTTTGGCGGAAAATATTCTCCTTTTGGAAAATATTTTCCCGGAAGTCATTTTCCTGGAAAATGTTTTCCCAGAACATAATTTTCCGGTGTTCATCGACCAATATGAAAAAGTTTCGGAAAATATTTTTCACCGGTGACCGGCGGCGGCGGCGGCGGCGGGCGGCCAGCGACCGGTGACCAACGGTGGTGACCGGCGATCAACTTCCTCACCCACGGAAAATATTTTCCCTCCCATGGGCAATTTTGCCTTTAATTTGGGGGAAAATGATTTCCTCTTTGTGAAAAGAGGAAATCATTTTCCTCAAAACAATGAAGGATTTGGGGGTGGAGAAGGAAAATGTTTTCCCACGGAAAACATTTTCCGCCCCCGAACACCGGAAAACGCGGAAAATATTTTCCGGAAAAATATTTTTCCGCAAACAAACACAGCCTACATATAGGAGTGAGAAGCTGTTTATATAGGACATCCATTTTTTTTCTTCTTTTCGGTAAGATTGAAATGCATGATCAATAAACAATGTATCATCATGTAAAATTATTAGAAGGAACAGCAGAAGTTCAATTACTCAACAACAACAGCGTCCTCCAAGCAATAGTCCTCCATACTTTTCTAAATGTTATAACTAGATGTACATAGCTAGATCGATCTACTATACCCCCATGCGGTTAACAAACACCATTGATGTTTCATCATGCTGACAAATGTGTCCTTTGATAGTACACTAACTAACATTGAAAACATGGTTTTGAGCCTCATCTAATTCATCAACTTTTTGTCCTTTTCTTAGAGCTCGCTTACACTTTGGTCATCAATGAAAATTGTGACATATAAAGGTTTAGAGCGGTAGCAATGGAAACGATAATGGGCAAGCATCTAGGTGATGTCATTTTGATGTTGTCAACACTCCTCAAAGAAGATATTATGCTACCTCAAAGGGAAAGTTACCAAAAAAATCCTAAACCTATTGCAATTGTGCCAATTCAGTCCTAAACCTTTTTGCAATTATGTCATTCAGTCCATCTAGTCACTTTTGGCCGACCGGCACTGACGTGGACGCCGGCCGGCTGACGTGGCAATATTTTAATATATATATTTTCGAATTATTTTTTATTTTTTCGTTTCTCTTTTTTTTTTTCTTTTCCTTCTTCCCCCTGGCCGGACCTGCCAAGGGGAGGCTCGCCGGTGAGGGCGAACCTTGCCGTCACTGGGCGAGGCGAGGGTGGAGCTCGCCATGGCTGGGCGAGCTCTGCCCTCGTCGTTGCTGGGCGAGCTCGACCTTGCCCAGATTTGGCGAGGTCGAGCTTCACCATGGCTATGGGCGAGGTCGAGCTCGCCCAGCCATGGCGAGCTCTGCCCTCGCTAGTGCCGGCGAGGGCGAGCCTCCCTAGTGGCCGACAAGAGCTCGCCGGCCCTAACCCCTGGCCGGTTCGGCCATTGGACCGGGCAAAGAAGGAAAGGCCAAAAATAAAACAAAGAAAGGAAAAAAATAAAAAAATTTTGAGCTCCACCCTCGCCAGTCCTGTGAAGGCGAGCCTTGTCGTCGCACAGCCATGGCAAGGCTCAACCTCGCTAGATCTGGGCAAGGTTAAGCTCGCCCATCGGCAGTGAGGGCAGAGCTCGCCATGGCTGGGCGAGCCTCGCCGTCGCACAGCCATGGCGAGGCTCGACCTCGCCAGATCTAGGCGAGGTCGAGCTTACCCAGCGGCGACGAGGGCAGAGCTCGCCCAGCCATGGCGAGCTCCGCCCTCACCGGCCCTCGCCGTCACACAGCCATGGCGAAGCTCGACCTCGCCAGATTTGGGCAAGGTCGAGCTCGCTCAGCCATGGCGAGCTCCGCTGTCGCCAGTCCCCAGATGCCGGCGAGGTCACCTCGCTGGCAAGCCTCCCCTTAGCCGGCCAGGGGGAAGAAGGAAAGAAAAAAAAAAGAAAAAGGAAAAAAATAAATATATATATATATTAAAAATATTGCCGCATCAGCCGGCCGGCATTCACGTCAACGCTGACCGGATGACTAAATTGGCACAATTGCAAAAGATTTAGAACTGAATTGATAAAAAAAAAGATTTATGACTGAATTGGCTCAATTGCAATAGGTTTAGGACTTTTTTGGTAATATTCCCCTGCATCAAATATTAGACCCACGCTTGCCAATCCCAAGAGTGAATTCTATCGCAAGAAATATCTTTCTGGTAGTTTCTCTGGCGCTTGCTTGCTTAAGTAGCGATCCAAAGTCACGACCCACAATGAAACAAGTTTCGGAAGCTTTTCTAGCTCCAAAACCAGCGTTGGCCAAGCCCTTCCATTCAATCTCACTTGCGCAGCTCCAACAAATGAATCGAGCGAGTATGGTGGGAAGGTGGATCAACGGAAACTTCATCAAGCCTACAAGAAGAGCAAGGACCATGAAGTGCTTGTCCCAGTAATAGCAAACAAAATTCCAACCAGTGAAGAGTTGATTGATAGAATGATGCTGCAAATTGGTAATTGTGGTTGAGGATACAAAGGATACGGCTTCTGCAATTTCAAGTCACGGCAAACTTTTTTTAAACTAGCTAGGCTAAAATCTACCTAAGTAGCAATGTGGAGTGAGAATCATTTATCTGACAGTCATTTATTTTTTGTTTTTACAGTAAGATCGGAATGCATGATAAGTGGTGTTGTGTTGTTGTGGCCACGAAAATTAGGCAACGTAAGGATACTCACTACGTGTTATTCGGGATCATTTCTGTCTAGTTGAAGGCTTGCTAGTCAATTAAAGGCGGCAAATTGATCAACGTTTCCTTTTCGATGGCCAAGGATCCTACATCACGAAAACAACAAAAGACCACGACGATTACTCTAGACGGACCGTGTCTCTTGGTCCGGCAATCAATACACGTCCAAAGACCTTGACTTGTTGACTTTTGAGGAGCGTACTCGACAAAGACCTTGACTTCTGGAATTTGTGCAACTTCCATGTGTAAGCTGGTTCAACTTCTAGTGGAATCATCATTAGTTAACCGTGAAGCTTACGATGGAGGGCCTGCCACTTCGCAATCACGATGTTGCGGAATCAGAGTTCATCCATTATGAAGACACAATCAACCGTATAAATTAATTCATGTCTTGAAGTTTTGTAATAATGAACGCAACCTTTAAATTTAATCAGAATGGATGAACACAAGGACACAGAGACAAGGAAACCCATCGACATAAAACCCAAAAAATAAATAAATAAAAGAACCTTAAAATCATAAAATCATTTTTTTCCGCCTTAAAATCTCGTATGCCGCACTTTCTGTATACCTCAAGCACACTTCCAATGAAAGAGAGTACATGATGCTATTCATTAATTATGATTCTACCTAAATGATCGTTAACGGGCTCGACCCACGGGGAACAAGATCCAAAGTTCTTGATACATCGGGCACGCATGTTCTTGATTTATGTAAAACATGGAAAGTGGAAGTCTATTTCGTGTTTTGAGAAATGATGTCGAAAAGGGGGAACTAGATCGGGGGAAAATTTCCAAAAATGTCATAAACTTATTGTAATTGTATTAATTCAGTCTTAAATTTTTTTGCCAATTTAGTCATAAACCTTTTGTATTTGTACCAATTCAGTCTATCTGGTCAATGTTAGCCGGCTAGCGTTGGCATGGATGTCGGCCAATACTGACGTGGATAATTTTTAATAATATTTAATATATTTCGAATTTTATTTATTTTTTCTTTTTTTACCCTTCCCTCTTCCTCTAGCCGGTCGCCTTGGCGACCAGCTAGAGGTGAGGACCAGCGAGGTCACCTCGCTGGCCTCTAGCGAAGCCCGCCCCCGCCGGCCACTAGCGAGGCCGAGCCTCGCCATGGCTGGGGCTTTGATGGGTTCCATTCAAGAAACTCAAGGACCGGCAATTCGGACTCGCAGCAAGAGCCGACCTTCAGCTGCATGTACGACAATTCTGAGCTGGGTTTTCTCAGGAAGGACGTTCCCGGCGAGATTTCACACGAAAAAGCGAGCTACAAGGGGAAGGATATCACGTTGGGGTCTGAGAATCCGAGCAAGGGCGGTGGTGATTGTGATAATTGCGTGGAGAGGGGTTTCATGAATTCGAGCGGCGGTGGAAGCAGCAGGTGGAATTTCTCCAAGACAGAGAGGCCGAGGAGGAGATTGAGAGGGAAAACAGGGACAAGAAGACGAAGCTCGAGACTCTTAACCTCTCTCTGGCTTTGCCCGATGGGTCTCTCTCCCTCACTGCCTCCAACTCCTTGCGGAATGATGACCTCTCCTCCTGCTAAGCCGAAACCCATCAGGTCCATCAACACGAACACCACTTACTACTCCAACGATTTCACCGCCACCAGGCCTCACGCCCAGATCGCGAGAGAAAAAGAAAAAAGAAAAAAGAAAAAGAAAATAAAAAAATAAACGAATAAAATAAAATATCATTAAAAATTATTCACGTTAGCGTCACTTGGACGGCCGGTGCCGGCCAGTGTTCACGTCTGCGTCGGATGATTGACATGTAAAAGAATTCAATTACAAAATCATTTCCAGAAACACATGTCGTTCGTCAAAATGTTTGTGAATGTGTGGCAATTTCTTTTGTAATAGAAAACTTAATTCCTTTTTCATCGTTTTCTGCAGAAATTTCCCTTTCACTTTTTGAAAGTTGCTTATCTGCTTATATCAATTAATGAGAATATGCGATTTCTTTATATGGCTTCTAAATAAAAACACATTTACCCCCTTCTACTTCAAGCAATTGTAGGTTGAAATACTTTTGAGTATAGAATTAAATCATCCTACGCTCCCTACTTTTGAAAACGAAAGTCGAGTTATAATGCAAATTGCATATAATGAATGGACAAGGAAAAACGTTGGAATTCCCTTTATTCATTAAATTATAATTCATTCGATACTTTGTAATGATCTGATTTTAGTTTTAAGTTATCAATCATCTCTGAAATTAATCTCGATTGGTTTCTTGAATTCTTTTGCATGGCGTTACATGTTATATAGTTCCCCAATTATACAGCCGCTATGCACAATAGTTCATATTGAAATTGAAATAATACCACTTTAATCAAAATTTAATGTGAAAAGGCCTTTTGTTTCAAGAACGAAACTGAGCATGGATATATCACAAACTAAACTTATACTTACCTAGAATTTAATCTTGAGTTGCTTGTCTTTAGGTTTTGGCCCCTCCTGAGACTTTGACTTTCAGTATCTGTCCCCAGTCACATTGACAACATCAATAGTAGCTGAAGACAAGTCTATGTTTATTGTGTTCAAGACTCAATTTCCTACTAAAATGTTGTGTGAATATACTTAAAAATGAGGATATGAGTTAGATTCTATCTTGGGAAAGGTTAGTTTTTTTTTCTTTTTCTTCTTTCACTTGGCTGTGGGTTGGGAAAGGTTATTTTACTGCTCAAGTTGTCTGTACTTTTGTGGCAATATATACAAGTTATAAATTCTTCGAGGAAGAAGGCCATGTGCATGATTTTTGTGGTGGATTATGGGGAACTATGGAGTTTTGACAGAAGTTCACATTCACGGATACTCAAGACAATAGAACAATAAGTTTCTCTTCTGTCCTCTACATGTTTTCTCTGTTACGGAAGCCGAGCGAATGAATAGCAAAATAGACAGAATAAGAAAATAAGTCGGACACTAGATTTACGTTGTTCGGTCGTAGTGACCTAAGTCCACGGGAGAACAGCACGGAATTCTACTATAGATCAAGCGATATAACGGAGTTTAAAGCCACACTCAAGTCACTCAAACACTTTAAGTGTTTCCCAAGCCCTAATTACATCCAATAACTCACTCAATGTTTAGCCTCACAATTACTCACGAAATAATCTCTCAATCTCGCAAAGGAATTATACAAATCTTACAACAAGATTTAATTTCCTACAAACACTTGAACTTTAGGATGTAATTTTCTGAACAAAGACTTCACTGCACGAAGACCCGCACTGCCACAGCCACGGACACCAAACACTCACATTAGCGGCGCTTCGGGCAATCTTCTTGCGACAACAATAGCACACCCTCTGTTCACGGTGTCACTTGCAAAACACATGCAAGCTCAACTCTCCGAAGACAAGTCCTTAAACAATTATATATTGTATAGCACCGCCAAGGAGTCCGACCCTAATTCGTAAACTAGGAAATTACTATATCCAGACAAAGTCATAGTCTTGAGTGCAACGCCATTCAGGAAAGTCAATTTCCGTATTTTTTTCCCCCTTGTTTTGCTTGGAATCCATGCCCAACGTGGATTCCTTTGACACCAAAACAAAGATATGTCCACGGTGGACGTCTACACACACACACATATATAATTAATCTCAGATCGGATTCGTTCGCGAGCTCAAACTCGAGACATATTTTCAACATCCTCCAAACAGTGAACTAATTATCTTGATCCGCACTTTTATGGATGATAATGGATTTCAACTTGTCTACACCCAAATCACCATAAATCAACTTAGCTACAACAATTGATCAACTTAAATCAGGTCTCGAATGCTTGCAAATTGCCAGTTCACATGTATCTAGTAAAGCTCAACAACAGGATGGCTGACGAGGTTAATCCGAATGTGGGACATTGGGACAGAATCTATGGTATTTAAATTAAACGTTTAATCACTCACCCAATAATTCGAGGCTTTAAAACAAAATGATTTGATTAAAATGAAAGTTAACAATAAATTATTTTGATCATGGAGTCCTCTTTCGAACGATCGTTTCTTTTATATTAGATGCATAGTCCCACTACGCCCCTCTATTGAGACCAAACAAAACCACGAGGCCCAACACCTGACGGTGACACGAGGCTTCAATTAGTCGAAATTGAAGACTTCCAAGTCGTCACATGTTAAATTGCTCTGCACAAAGTCATTTCTTTTGGATTGCCCTTACTTATATATTACAGCAAAACTCAGGCCTTCCTCTTCCATATGCTTCATTTGAATCCTGTAAGCAAACCCGTCGGCTTGCATGTTCGCCAGCTGATGACCGCAGCTACATGGATCGTTATTGCCCTTGCTCTATCCCACAACCGCCCTGCCATTGCCGCGGGAACAGAGGCGGATGCTCTTCGTCGCAGTGGGTGGTGGCCTGACTACATTACGAGAAACACTTCCTTGTCACATTGCATGTGGTGGGGTATTTCGTGTGACGATTCTGGAAACGTCGTCGAAATAAACATGCCACCAAGAGGTTGCTACGGCCGCTGGTTCAGAAGTAATTTGATCAGCATGAATTTCTCTCTACTCCCGAATCTCGGCTCTCTTCAGCTGCCTTATAATTACCTCACCGGTATCACTCCCCTTCAAATATGTGCACTCCCAAAGCTTTGGCACCTTGATTTGTCCAACAATTACCTAACCGGTGAGTTACCTCTTTGTCTCCAAAATCTCACCACGTTAGAAGTTATTGACATTCATAACAGTTAAATCGATACTCCTATCCCTCCAGAATTGGGGAATCTAAAGAGTCTAATCCACCTAGATTTCAATTTCAATTTGCTTCCTGGCCCTATCCCTCCGACTCTAACAAAATTGAGGAACTTGACTCATCTCTATTTGCAAGGAAATGCCTTCAATGGATCTATTCCTCCGGAAATAGGGAACTTGACAAACTTGGCATATCTGAGTATGGAAGACAACAGAATCGGTGGATACATCCCTCCAGAATTGGGAAATCTAAAGAGGCTGATCCATCTAGATTTCAGTTTCAATTCGCTTCATGGCCTTATCCCTCCGACTCTAGCGAAATTGAGGAACTTGACTCATCTCTATTTGCAAGGAAATGCCTTCAATGGATCTATTCCTTCGGAAATAGGGAACTTGACAAACTTGGCATATCTGAGTATGGAAGACAACATAATCGGTGGATATATCCCTCTCGAATTGGGAAATCTGAAGAAATTGATCTACCCGAATCTCAATTCCAATTTGCTTCACAGCACGATCCCTCTGACTCTTGGTGTCTAATTTACACCGTCTACAACTCAGCTCTAATCTTTTAGAAGGCTTCATCCCGCTTGAGATAGGGAACTGCATGAACTTGTGTCACGTTGACCTAGAATGCAACTCCTTCGTCAGTCCCATTCCTTCATCTCTAGCGAAATTGAGGAACTTAATGCATCTCTATTTGCGACAAAACTCCTTCAATGGATCTATGCCTCCAGAAATCGGGAACTTGACAAACTTGGCATATATGAGTATGGAAGAGAATCAATATCGTGGATCTATCCTGTCAAAAATAGGTAACTTGAAGAGCTTGATTGATTTGAGGCTGAGCTCAAACTCCTTCACTGGCCTTATTCCATCGGAAATAGGAGATTTGAAGAGTCTCACCAATCTAAATTTGAGCTTTAACAACTTCTTTGGACAAATCCCTCATGAACTTGACAGTTTGGTTGCGTTAAGCTACCTCAATCTTGCGAACAATTCTCTTCACAGTTCAGTTCCCAATTTCAAAAAGCTTTCCAAATTGGATTACATCGACTTATCGTACAATCATCTCATGGGAAATGTTCTACAAAATCTGTTCAATGTTCGTCATATGTCTTTCAAAGGCAATGAAGGTTTGGAATATACTGCCATGGAAACAGAGGCAAATGCTCTTCGTCGTGGTTGGTGGTGGCCTAACCCCCTTACAAGCAACGTTTCATTAGCACATTGCATGTGGCCTGGCATTTCATGCAACCATTCCGGCAGCGTTGTCAAGATAAACATAACACAACGAGGCCAATACGACTACAAGGTCGCATGTGATTTGCGCAGCATAAATTTTTCGCTGCTCTCGAATCTGGCCTTTCTTAGGCTACATGATGATAATTTGGGTAATATCTTTCCCCTTCAAATATGTGCACTCCCAAAGCTCAGGCCCCTCAACTTGTCCCACAATCGGCTAACCAGTGAGTTCCCTCTTTGTCTCCAAAACCTCACCATGTTAGAAGTAATTGACATTCATAGTAATTACCTTTATGGTTCAATCCCTCCCAAATTGGGAAATCTAAATAGTTTTATCTACCTAGATTTGAGTTCCAATACGTTTTGGGGGATGACCCTCCCACTCTTGGTCACATAGATTACATTGAATTGTCGTACAATTATCTCACGGGAAAAATTCCAAATAATTTGGCCCATGTTCCTTATGGAGCTTTCATAGGCAATGAAGGTTTGGAAAATATTGATGGTTCTAGAAGAATGTTTAGGGTTGTACTTATGACAATACTTATACCACTGACGGCTATACCATTCATTTTCTATTTTGTTTTGCGCCCTTCGATCATATTTCGGCGTAGAAAGAAGAGCATGCAATTAGAGACAATGGAAAAAAATGGAGATTTCTTGTCAATATGGAATTATGATGGGGGAATTGCATATGAAGACATAATCAATGCAATAGAAGACTTTGATATCAAATATTGCATTGGAACTGGTGGATACGGTAGTGTCTATAGAGCGCGATTGCCCAGTGGGAAAATCAAGGCACTAAAGAAACTTCACCGTCTTGAAGCAACCAAGCTTTCGACAAGAGCTTCCGAAATGAAGTGAAGCACATGACAGAAGTATGACATAGAAGCATAATTAAGCTCTATGGATTTTGCTTACACGAGCGATGCATGTTCTTGATTTATGAGTACATGGAAAGGGGAAGTCTATTCAGTGTTTTGAGAGATGACTATGAAGCGGTGGAACTAGATTGGCCTAAAAGACTCAAGATTGTTTGGGATATAGCACATGCCTTGTCTTACCTACACCATGATTGCGCTCGGCCAATCATTCATCGAGACATAACTAGCAACAACATTTTGCTGGACAACAAAATGCAGGCTTTCCTATTAGATTTCGGCACGGCAAGATTCATGGAACCTAATTTCTCATCTAATCTCACTGTAAATATTGCAGGCACTGATGGATATAGCGCTAGGTGAGCAACAATAGTCCATATTTTTGCGGAATGTTATTACTAAAGGCACATAACTTGATCAATATTCTTAACACCCCCCCCCCCCCCCCCTCCCCATTTGATAATAACATGTTGACGCTTCATCATGCTTACATATTTATCATTTGACAACGCACTAACTATGATTGAGAACTTAGTTTCGAGCCTCATCTAATTTATGACCTTTTTTTATTTTTTAAGAGCTCGCTTACACTTTGGTCGTCAATGAGAAATGCGACGTATACAGCTTCGGGGTGGTAGCAATAGAAACAATAATGGGTGCGCATCCCGTTGGAGAAAGATACGATTTTATCTTTAATCTTGATTTGAATTGATTCAATCAAGGATACTCGGAAATAAAGTAGAAGAGTGTAATCGTTGTAATCTTGTTTATTCTTTCCTTTTTTGTATGATAAATGCATATATGTACAAAGTAAAGGTAAACGAAAAAAAACAAAAAAGATGAAAAAATTGCCCCAAAATACGTCTTCATCGTCCTCGTTTCTCAACACATCCAAGTGAGACAATCTTAATGTTGTCCACACTCTTCAAAGAAGACATTATGCTACATCAAATATTGGATCCGCGCTTGCCAATCCCGAGAGAGAATTCTGTTGCCAGAAGTATCGTTCTAGTAATATCTTTGGCACTTGCTTGCTTAAGTAGCGATCCAAAGTCACGACCCACAATGAAACAAGTTTCGGAAGTTTTTCTAGGTCCAAAACTAGCGTTGGCCAAGCCCTTCCATTCAATTTCACTTGGGCAGCTCCAAGGAAATAATCGAGAAGTATGGGTGGAAGGCGGATCAACAGAATATTCGTCAAGCCTACAAGAAGAGCAAGGACCGTGAAGTACTTGTCCCAAAACAAGCAAATAAGTTCCACCAAGTGAAGAGTCGGTTGATATAATGGTGCTGTAAATTGGTGAATGTGGTTGAGGACATGAAGTATGCGGCTTATGCAATTTTAAGTTATGCCAAACACCTTTTAATACTAGCTAGACTAAAATCTTCCTAGGGAGCAGTCACTAAGGAGTGAAGCATTTATAGGACAGACGCTTATTTTTCTGTCTTTTTAGTAAGATCGGAATGTGTGCTGAGTGATAATGTGATGTTGCCACCATGAATGTTTGGCTTGTTAAGGACATGCACTATGTCTTTGCAGGATCGTTTCTCTTAAGTTGAAGACGGAAAATTTCGAAATTGACGTTTCCTTCACATTGGCTAAAAGATCAGACATCACATAAACAACAAAAGACCAAGACTTCTCTTGAGCGTGTATACGACTCATGCACATGAAAGTGAAACTCGATGACCTTAGAGGCTTTGGAATTGTGTACTCGACCAAGACCTTGACTTCTTGAGCGTGTCTTACTTCCATACATAATCCGGTTTAAATTCTAATTAAATCACCATTAAGTAACCGTGAAATTTCCGACAAAGGGGCTACCGGCCACTCCACAATAATGATGTTGCAGATATTCAGCTTCTCTTATTAACGGCAATTTATAGCTTTCCATTGTAACAGAAACATATAATCGTATTGTAAATACATTCCTAGAAACTAATTTATGTCTACATAAATATGTCATTGCAAAGTATTCTAGTACTGTTCTTAATGAGTGACCTCACCTAGGCCCAATCTGGCAAGGCGTCCCTCGCCCAAGGCCGGTGAGGGCTAGGCGAGGAGAGGACCGATGATAGTCAGTGGAGGGAAAAAGGGAAAAAAATGATTTAGAAAATTACCAAAATTATCAAAATTGTCCATGTCAGCGTCGACCGTACCACGTAGGCATTGACTAAACCACAACGTTAGCAATTTCTGGTCAAAATTGCTGGAAGAATTAAATTGGCAAATCATTAAAAGGTTTAGGATTAAATTGACAAATTATCCAAAACTCTCTACTTCAAGGAGATCTTCTAAATTTGCACAATTAAAAAGTTTAGGATTGAATTGGCCGCTGTATAATATGTTTAGAAGTTTTGGGCAATTTTCGCTACTTTTTACTAATCTTGCTTCCAACTAGGATTCTTCCATTTCTTAAGTGCTCGCCCCATTCAATACCATTGGTTATGATGAGGTTTAATGTTAAAAATCAGCAATATCGCAATAATTGTCGGTTACATGGGAAATATCCCTACGTATATAACAAGGAGCAAGAGCAATTTTCAGCTATTGCCAAATCCAGGTATATTATACATTAGTAAATAATAAATATCAAGAATTTCGTATCTTTTGTCTAAAAGCGGTCAATTTAGATGAAACGGGATACATTAGTAAGTCACGACCACCGACAATGAAACAAGTTTCTGAAGCTTTGTTGGCTCAAAGGATACCAATAATCCAACCCTTCCATGCAATCTCATTGGCGCAGATCCGACAAAATATGATTGGCGCATCAATGTTTTCATGGCCTACTTAACAATTAAATCGACTAAGTACATTCTTGATACAGATAAAGAAATTGGTATCTTGGATAAATTTCATAGTTCAAGGTATTTCTGATAGAAACGCCTCTCCTGTCCGAAAGACCTCAAGTGTAATTAATTAATAACAGATTGGTATGGCTCAAAATGACCATTTACGCAAGAGTATTAGGGCACGCCTGTACCAGAAAAAAACCAGTCACACATCTGCTTTGTTAAATCTTTTCTGATTTTCCCATTAAAAACTTCATTATTGTCATCGTTTTTCTTTATTCAGTAATTGATGCAAGTTTTCCCATTGTATTCATTGGTTTAGTGCTAATCTGTTCATTTTGGTTGACTGAAAGGGCATATTTTTCTTCTAGTACTGTACTTACTAGTAAGATTAACTGAACCAAACGTATCACGTGGTGCTCGAAGAAATAAAACTAGAGAAGACTTATATGGGTGGGGTGGCAAATTTGTAAATAGGTTTTGGGGCCGCCAAAATTGAACTTGCGCAAAGTATTTGGGAAGCTGTTTCCGACTTAAAGTCATCTTGTTCTCTGTTCAACAGATAGTCTTTTATATTGCAGTTCCCAACGATTTCTCAGAAGTCATTTGTGCAATTAAACGAAATATTCATAATGGGGTTATCAATGGATTAGTGGATGATTAGAAGGAATAGCAAAAGTTCAATTCCTGAACAACAAAGTGTACTCCAAGCAATAACAATCAATTCCAGAAACATAAAAGAATTTTTTGTTTTAATAACTGGGAGTTAACCTTTGAGTGAGACTGAAGAATTTTATAAGGTCCACCCGAAAAAAATTAGATCATGTTGATCGGAAATTGTGTCTCTTGTTGAACTTTGGATGTTTTATAATGTATTTATTTTTAAAGAATCTCCCTCATTTATAATACTCATTTCCTATTTAGGTCTTACACCTCGCTTCATATTTCGATGTATAATGAAGAACATGCGCAATCAGAGACAACTAAGAAAAATAGAGATTTCTTGTTGATAAGGAATTTTGATGGGAGAATTGCGTATGAAGATATAATCAATGCAACGGAAGACTTTGACATCAGATAGTGCATCGGGAGCGGCTGTTACGCCGGTAGTGTCTACAGAGCGCACGATTGCGAAATGGAAATATCGTGGCATTGAAGAAACTTCATCATCTTAAAGCAAAGGATCCTTCTTTTGATAAGAAGTTGCGAAACGAAGTGAAACGCTTGACGAAAGTAGGACATGAAAGCATAATTAAGCTCCATGGTTTCTACTTACACAACGGATGCTTGTTGTTGGTTTATGAGTACATGATGAAAAGGGGGAGTCTAAGTGGTGCATTGAGAAACGATGCTGAAGCGACAAAACTCAATTGGTCCAGTAGAGTCACTGTAGTTTGGATAAAGCAAAAAGACTGCTTTGGTATTAAATTGAAATTACAAGCATCTTTCCTTTCTAAGTTGAAGGCAGGCCAGTCAAAAAGGCCAGTCAAAAAAAAAAAGAAAAATGCTGGAAAATTGTTCCATGACCTCCCCTTACAATGGGTTAGAAATATGTAGGGCCAAACATCACCAATAAAAGTGTCATAAAGACCATGACTTCCCATGAACCATTGAACACGCACTGATCCAAAAGTCAACACACATGAAACCCCAAAAGACCTTGACTTCTTGATGGATGTGTGCAAGTTTCGTCCATACATGCATGCTGGTTTAAATAAATTTTTTTTTGCCGATATGCTGGTTTAACTTCTAATCGAATCATAAAACTGCCAAATTTAGATATTGCGGTGAATAGAATATTCTGTTTGTCGGAACATTTGCGCTAGAACTCTAAAAAATTTATCACTCAAATTACATCGGCAATTTTCCTTACTTGGAAATCCATTGTGCATTAATTTAATATTAAATCATCCATCGTGGTTCACTGGAAAGTAATGTCACGCGGGAATTTCCGACAAAAAAATCATTGATGTAACTTTAAGTGATATGCTTTTAAAAATTATGAATCGCTTAAAAAGTTATCACATCAAAGTGAGCACCGTACAAAAATCATAGCTTTGTTAGTGTTCCTATCCTTTCCAGTTTTATCGAGTAATCGATGGTCAGAAGCCATGAAATTCAAGCGATTTACTCAAGATTTTATCTATAGCCAATGCTGACTTTATTTTGTATGGTGTCCCACTAAATTTGAAATTTAACTTTTGTCAAGCTAGTTAGAGCAGCTCGTGGGATATAAGAGCTAATTTTGTTTACATTGAGCAATCAAACAAGTTATTATCTCATGGGATATGAGGGTAATTGACTTGCTATTACAACCGCGAAAACCTTGACATGTAGTCCAAAATAAGTTGTTAGCTTTTTTTTTGACAATACAAAGTATCCGGACCGTTCGACTCAAACAAATGTCACTAACACACACAATTCACCTGTTCACATTTTACATGTATCTAGTAAAGCTCCATTCACAGGGTGGCTTATGAGATTATTCTGAATATAAAATGTTATGAGGAAATCTATCCTATCTAAATTAGGTGTTTAATCACTTAGCCAATAATTTGAGGTTTTAAAACAAATTGATTAAGATGAAAGTAATGGCCAAATTAGTTTGATCACGGAGTACTCTTTCTCAATTAGATGTGAAGTCCATTAGGACCCTCTATGGAGACCAGACTAAAGTAACGTGTGTTACACGACAAGATTCAAACACAGAAAAGTGTGACACGTGAGACCAAGGTAAAAAATCATGCTTGTGCGTACGGTTCACGCAAGTGTGAAGGCCTAATTTAAAAAAAAAAACGCCAATTTTACCTGGGATAACAATTCTTGTCCGAACTTTTTTTGTCTCATAAAAAATCACAAAATTTCATTTAAATTCCAAATCTGGCTCTAACAATTTGAAAATTTCACATCCGGAGACTAGATTTGGGATTCGAGTAAAAGTTTGTGTTTTTTATTGAGACAAAAAAAGTTCGCATTACAATTGCCACTCAAGGTAAAATTTGTGGTTTTTTTTTTTAAATTAGCCCCAAGTGTGAATTGGATTTACACTAAAACCACGGGGGCCCAACGCCTGACGGTGACACGTGGCTTCAATTAGTCGAAATTAAAGACTTCCAAGTCGTTATGTTGAATTGCCCTTTATATATTACAGCAAAACTCAGGCCTTGCGCATCCCAAGCAAAAAGAAGAGATCCTCTCTCTCACTCTCTCTCTCTCTCTCTCTCAAAAGCATTAAGATATTCCATATGATTCATTTGAATCCTGCAAGCAAACCCGCCGTCGGCTTGCATGTTCGCCAGCTGATGACCGCAGCTACATGGATCCTTCTTGCGCTGGCTCTCTCCCACAACTTCCCTGCCCTTGCTACGGAAACAGAGGCGGATGCTCTCCGTCGCAGTGGGTGGTGGGGGCTTGACTCCATTACGAGCAACACTTCCATGCCGCATTGCACGTGGCCTGGCATTTCGTGCGACGATTCTGGAAGCGTCGTCGAAATAAACGTGCCACCAAGAGGTTGCTCCGGCTGCCCGTCCAGAAGAAATTTGAGCAGCATGAATTTCTCTCTGCTCCCGAATCTCAGCTCTCTTCGGCTGCCTGATTATAACCTTGCCGGTATCATCCCCCTTCAAATATGTGCACTCCCAAAACTCAGGCACCTCTACTTGTCCGACAATTACCTAACCGGTGAGTTACCTCTTTGTCTCCAAAACCTCACCACGTTAGAAGTTATTGCCATTCATAATAATCAAATCGATAGTCCTATCCCTCCAGAATTGGAAAATCTAAAGAGTCTGATCCACCTAGATTTCAGTTTCAATTCGCTTCATGGCCCTATCCCTCCGACTCTAACAAAATTGAGGAACTTGACTCATCTCTATTTGCAAGGAAATGCCCTCAATGGATCTATTCCCCCGGAAATAGGGAACTTGACAAACTTGGCATATTTGAGTATGGAAGACAACATAATCGGTGGACATATCCCTCCAGAATTGGGAAATCTAAAGAGTCTGATCTACCTAGATTTCAGTTTCAATTCGCTTCATGGCCCTATCCCTCCAACGCTAGCGAAATTGAGGAACTTGACTCATCTCTATTTGCAAGGAAATGCCCTCAATGGATCTATTCCTCCGGAAATAGGGAACTTGACAGACTTGGCATATCTGAGTATGGAAGAGAATACATTCAGTGTATGTATACCTTCAGAAATAGGATTCTTAAGGTGTCTCTCTCATCTAGATTTGAGCTTTAACAGCTTCTCAGGAAAAATCCCCCAAGAACTTGGGAGTTTGGTCATGTTAGCCTATATCAATCTTCAAAACAATTCTCTTCACGGTTCAATTCCCAATTTCAAAAAGCTTTCCAAATTGTATCACATCGACTTATCGTACAATCATCTCACAGGAAATATTCCACAATATCTGTTCAATGTTTGGTATGCATCTTTCGAAGGCAATGAAGGTTTGGAATATACTGCCATGGAAGCAGAGGCAAATGCTCTTCGTCGGAGTGGGTGGTGGCCTTACACAAGCAACGTTTCCTTAGCACATTGCACGTGGCCTGGCATTTCATGTGACCACTCCGGAAGTGTTGTCAAGATAAACATAACACAACAAGGCCAACACAACTACGAGGCCGCATCTCTAGTACGTGCACTCCCAAAGCTCAGGCACCTCAACTTGTCCCACAGTCAGCTAACCGGTGAGTTCCCTCTTTGTCTCCAATACCTCACCATGTTAGAAGTAATTGACATTCATAGTAATTCCATTTATGGTTCAATCCCTCCCAAATTGGGAAATCTAAATAGTCTTATCTACTTGGATCTGAGTTCCAATACGTTTTGGGGGACGATCCCTCCGACTCTTGGTCCCATAGATTACATTGACTTGTCGTACAATTGTCTCACGGGAAAAATTCCAAATAATCTGGCCCATCTTCCTTATGGAGCTTTCATAGGCAATGAAGGTTTGGAAAAGATTGATGGTTCCAGAAGAATGTTTAGGGTTGTACTTATGACAATACTTATACCACTGACGGCTATACCATTCATTTTCTATTTTGTTTTGCACCTTTCGATCATATTTCGGCGTAGAAAGAAGAGTGTGCAATCAGAGACAGTGGAAAAAAATGGAGATTTCTTGTCAATATGGAATTATGATGGGAGAATTGCATATGAAGACATAATCAATGCAACTGAAGACTTTGATATCAAATATTGCATTGGAACTGGTGGATACGGTAGTGTCTATAGAGCGCGATTGCCCAACGGGAAAATCGTGGCACTAAAGAAACTTCACCGTCTTGAAGCAGAGGACCCATCTTTCGACAAGAGCTTCCGAAATGAAGTGAAGCACTTGACAGAAGTACGACATAGAAGCATAATTAAGCTCTATGGATTTTGCTTACATGAGCGATGCATGTTCTTGGTTTATGAGTACATGGAAAGGGGAAGTCTATTCTGTGTTTTGAGAGATGACTATGAAGCGGTGGAACTTGATTGGTCAAAAAGACTCAAGATTGTCTGGGATATAGCACATGCCTTGTCTTACCTACACCATGATTGTGCTCGGCCAATCATTCATCGAGACATATCTAGCAACAACATTTTGCTTGACAACAAAATGCAGGCTTTCCTATCAGATTTCGGCATGGCAAGACTCATGGAACCTAATTTCTCATCTAATCTCACTGCAAATATTGTAGGCACTCATGGATATATAGCACCAGGTGAGTAACAATAGTCCATATTTTTGCGGAATGATATTACTAGAGGCACATAGCTTGATCATGCTTACATATTTATCATTTGACAATGCACTAGCTAAGATTGAGAACTTAGTTTCGAGCCTCATCTAATTTAAGACCTTTTTATTTTTTTATTTTTTAAGAGCTCGCTTACACTTTGGTCGTCAATGAGAAATGCGACGTATACAGCTTCGGGGTGGTAGCAATAGAAACAATAATGGGTGAGCATCCAAGTGAGATCATCTTAATGTTGTCCACACTCTTCAGAGAAGACATTATGCTACATCAAATATTGGACCCGCGCTTGCCAATCCCAAGAGAGAATTCTGTTGCAAGAAGTATCGTTCTAGTAATATCTTTGGCACTTGCTTGCTTAAGTAGCGATCCAAAGTCACGACCCACAATGAAACAAGTTTCGGAAGTTTTTCTAGCTCCAAAACTAGAGTTGGCCGAGCCCTTCCATTCAATTTCACTGGGGCAGCTCCGAGGAAATAATCGAGCAGTATGGGTGGTAGGCGGATCAACAGAAAATTCATCAAGCCTACAAGAAGAGCAAGGACCGTGAAGTACTTCCCCCAAAACAAGCAAATAAGTTCCACCAAGTGAAGAGTCGGTTGATATAATGGTGCTGTAAATTGGTGAATGTGGTTGAGGACTTGAAGTATGCTGCTTATGCAATTTTAATTATGCCAAACACTTTTTTATACTAGGTAGGCTAAAATCTTCCTAGGTAGCAGTTACTAAGGAGTGAAGCATTTTTAGGACAGACGTTTATTTTTCTGTCTTTTTAGTAAGATCGGAATGTGTGATGAGTGATAATGTGATGTTGTCACCATGAATGTTTGGCTTGTTAAGGACATTCACTACGTATATGCAGGATCATTTCTCTTTAGTTGAAGACGGAAAATTTCGAAATTGACGTTTCCTTCATATTGGCTAAAAGATCAGACATCACATAAACAACAAAACACCAAGACTTCTCTTGAGCGTGTAGATGACTCATGTACAAGAAAATGAAACTCGATAACCATAGAGACTTTAGAATTGGGTACTCGACCAAGACCTTTACTTCTTGAGCGTGTCCTAATTCCATGCATAATCTGGTTTAAATTCTAATTAAATCACCATCAATTAACCGTCAAATTTACCATAAGTCCTGCCAGTGAGCTGCCTTCCTCTCCAGAGAACCTCACCAGGCTTCGTGTACTGGACATTTGTCATAATCAAGTCGATCTGAAGAGATTGACCCACGTAAAATCTCATATTCAATGCACTTAGCAATCCCTTAGACGCTCGATTGCTTGGACAATATGCAATAGCTTAGCTTCACCTCAAACAAATTAGGCGGCTCCAAACCCTCTTGAAATACGGAACCTCACGCAATTGAATCATGTTGATTTAAGCCACAACAACTTCATCGGTCTCGTTCCATCAATTATAGGGAATCTCACGAGCTTGAAATATCTCTATATGCAAGAAAACAAAATTCAGTGGAACTTATTTTCCAGAAATGGGGAACTTGACGAACTTGACTTATCTCTAATTGCAAGGCAACTAATTCAATGGTTCTACTCCGTCGGAATTAAGCCATTTGGAGAACTTGATTGATATGAGCCTAAATTCGAATATCCTCACTTGCCCGCTTCATTCACGTATGGGAAATTTAACAAGCTTGATCGTGTTGAATTTACGGGAATTTAGATTCGACTGTGCCATCCCATCGGAAACAAGAGATATAAGAAATATCAAACTACTAGATTTGAGCTTGACCAACTTCGTCGGGAAAATCCCTGTTTGAAAGTGTCCTGTTCTTTCGGAACTTAAATCCAAAGTTTATTGATATGCTTCACGTTTCTTTCATTTGCATTTCTATTTTTCTTCCTTAATGTCGCAAGAAAGTGATATGATCGATTGGTTTTCATATACTAGATCATCTTATTAGTTGCCATTTATGTTACAAACTAAGATTCTTACATATAATAATCCCCCAAATGGTTTTAGGTAATACAAATAGAATAAAAGTGGTGAAAATTAAAGTTTCAGCAATTTATGACTTGTGTTTTCATATTTGAGGATTAGCATGTCTAAAGTGGTATATGTGAATGTGATAGCAGGAGCTGGGTTAAATTATTAGTGGAAGAAGTGGGAAAATCTTTCAAGACGTGTGCCGACCATGTTGGGGACTTGCCTCGTCTATATTCTAGACCTACCCATGGGTCGATCTATTCAGATTCGAGTCTAGCGTAACTTCCTTATCCAATCCCATCCATTTCATATTAGACAAAAATAGTATCCAGATCAACTTTTTCTGACCTAAAGTAGTTGCCAATCGTGAATCTCTAGATGGGAAGAGTTTGGCAATAGAACGTCTTGCAATAGAACACTTACCAGGCTGGAGCGAGGGAGGCGCTGGGCCATGATCAAGTCTACTATCTTGTCATCTCATTGAAGGAATGGCATTATTTGCATTTTGCAAGTAGACTAGGATCGACTTGGAGCTCGGATGGGCTGAGGCGAAAGGTGAAAAAAAAAAATACTAATAGGCGGGCTAAGGCTAGGGCGTGGGCTAAAACTCCGTCCAAGACCACCTATAATTCGAAATACAGGGCCGAGGCAAGAGCCAGAGGCGGTATTTGGCTCAAGAACAGTTTAGCTTGCTAGTCCCCCCGATTTAAAAAGAACTCATTGAGCCCAAAAAAAATTGAACTAATTGAGCCCAATCGGGCGCCATCCATCTAGTCCGAATGCATTGTCCAAGCCTGGCCGAGGGATGGCCCGACTCATCGGACTGCTCGTGTCATGATCACTTGCATTTGCGAGAGATTACTGCCCAGTAGACCTGCTCATTGGGTCGGCTTGGATGGGCTCGGGCTGGTCCGCTGGGGCATGAACCTTTCAGAGAACCTGCCTAGGCTTGAACTTGCACGCCTGGGCAAGTGCCCAAGCCCGCCCATCAGCCCACCTCCTTATTTTTTGTTATTTAGAATTGAGTTAATACCACGAAAAACCCCAAACCGGTACACATGTGACAAATTTATCCAAAACTATTTTTTTACCACAAAAAATTTCAAATTGGTACACATGTGACAATTTTACCCCGAACTAATTTTTTTACCACCAAAAACCCCAAACTGGTATAATCTGTGACAAAATTTACCCTTGGTTAGTTTCCGTTAAATTTTACTGTAAAATTACTAAGTTTGATAACACGTAATAGTCAACGGTTATACCAGTTTAGGGTTTTACTCTTCTGTTTGTCACAAGTTTACCAATTTATGATTTTTCATGATATTAATCCAATTTAACGGACTTTAACGGAGAGTAAATTTATCACAAATATCTCAGTTTGGAGTTTTTAGTGGTAAAAAAAATTAGTTCAGGGTAAAATTGTCACAAGTGTACCAGTTTGGGATTTTTGGTGGTCAAAAAGTTAGTTCGAAGTAAAATTGTCACAAGTGTATCAGTGTAGAGTTTTTGGTGGTCAAAAAATTAGTTCGGGATAAAATTGTCACAAGTATACCAGTTTGGAGTTTTTCGTGGTATTAACCCTTTAGAATTTAGGCTACAAAATCTGAAGAGCTTGATTGAGATGAGACTAAGCCACAACTCCTTTCACTTGCCCCATACCTCCATCTTTGGCCAATTTAACACTGGCCATGCTAGATTTGAATGGGAATGGATTCGATCGGGCTATTCCATCAAAAACAGGAGATTTAAAGTGTCTCGCTTATCTAGATTTGAGCTTTAACAACTGGTCTAAAAGAATCCCAGTTGAACTTGAGAGTTTGGTTGAGACGAGGCCAGGCTTAAACTCCTTCACTTGTCTCATCCCTCCATCTTTGGCCAATTTAAACAAGCTTGACCGTTAGTTTGATAAAATGATGCTGCAATTTGGTGAAAGTGGGTTGAGGATATAAGCTTTATATGGCATCTATAATTTAAGTCGTGCATAAAAAATTGTGCAAACTAAAGTTATAGGAGTCATGAGAGGCAGTTTATATAGGACAGTTCCAGTAAGATTGGAGTGCATGATCAATATAACTGGTTTGATATTTACACACTGTGTGTTGGTGTTACATGGATCTTTTGCTTTATAAGTTGAAAAGGCTTGTTAGCCAGAAAAAGAAAAGGGCTGGAAAATTGCTCCCTGACCTTTCCCTTACGCTGAGTTAGAAATTTCTAGGGCGAAACATCACCATTAAATGTGCATAAAGACCACGACTTCTCATGAACCATTCTAACGCGTACTGATCCAAAAACCTTCACACATGAAACTCTAAAAGACCATGACTTCTTGAGTAGGCACATGTCTGTTCTATCTTGTAGTTATCATCTTAGGGTCACAAAATCAACACGAGACTCCGAAGACCATCGACTTTTCGATGGACGTGTACAAGTTCCATCCATGCATTCATGCCGGGTCTTGTCTCTTGGCCAGTATGCGGGTTTAAATTCGGATCGAATCCTGAAACCGCGGAATTCGCATGAGCTGAATCGTCCGCTTGCCCAAAAGTTCATATCATGACTTTGAAAAACTGATCGCCTGAGTTACCTTGGCGAATTTCCTTACTTGAAAGTCGGGAAAAGTATAAAAAAAAAATCCTAAACTTATTATATTGGTACTAATTTAATCGTAAATTTTTCAATTAGACCAATTTAATCCCAAACCTTTTCAGGGATAAGGACACTAGGAGTGCCATAACTTTTGTACGACACTCACATGAATGCCATAACTTTTTTTTCACTCATTTGAGTGTCATTTTCGGCAAACCATCCTACATGAATTTTTTTTTATTAATTTTTCATCTGACGTGGATTTTTTTAAATGTTTTTTATTTTATTTTTTTGAATTTTTGAATTCTTTTTTATTACTCTAGACGAACCGTGTCTTATTGGTCGAACAATCGACGCATGTCCGAAGACCTTGACTTGTTGACTTTTGAGGTGCGTACTCGACAAAGACCTTCACTTCAGGAATTTGTCGAGCTGTTTCAACTTCTAATTGAATTATCATTAGTTAATCGTGAAGTTTACGATGGAGGGGCTGCCACCTCGCAATCACGATGTTGTGGAATTAGAGTCCATCCAATATAAAGAAACAGTCAACCGTATAAATTAATTTAGGAAAAATTTCAATTAATGACCCAAAGTGGATCTCTTTTCTCAAAAAAGGACCTTAAGTAAACAATGTCTCGATTAAGAATCTAAAGTGCCCAAATCAATCTCAAATAAGAACCCCAGCTTGCCGGACCGGCCAAATGATCGCCGGCCGGCGAGCGTGAGACATTTTCGGCGCCAAAATAGGGGCAATTTTGTCCTTTTCTTTTCTTTTCCTTTTTTGTTCTCTTTTTTCTTTTTTTCTTTTTCTCTCTTCTCTCTTGTGGCCATCGCCAGCGACGTCTGCCGGCCTCAAGCGAGGGCCGCCTTCGCCAGCATCGAGCGACGACCGCCCTCGCCGGCGTCAGGCGACGGCCGCCCTCACCTGGGCGGGCGAAAGCTGCCCTCGCCCTCGCCCGACGTCGACGAGGCCGAGGGCGGCCCTCGCCGCAACCCTCGCTAGCCTAGGCTAGGTGCCTCGCCCGATGCTGGCAAGGGCAACCTTTGCTTGGGCTAGCGAGGCCAAGGGCGGCCCTCACCGAATCTGGGGAGGGCGAGGGCGGCTGTCGCCCGCCCAGGCGAGGGCGAGGGCGGCTGTCGCCCGCCCAGGCGAGGGTGACCCTCGCCCGACGCCGGCGAGGGCCACCCTCGCTAGCCCAGGCGAGGGTGGCCGTCGCCCTACGACGGCGAAGGCAGTCCTCGCCTAAGGCCAGCAGACATTGCCGGCAATGGCTACAAGAGAGAAGAGAGAAAAGGAAAAAGAGAAAAAAGAAAGGAAAAGAAAAGAAAAAGACAAAATTGCCCATATTCCGGCGCCGGAAATGTCTCACGTTCGCCAGCCGACGAGTTGGGTCTTTATTTGAGACTGGTTTAGACACTTTAGGTCCTTAATTAAAATATTATTCACTTGAAATTTTTTTTAAGAAAAGAAATTCACTTGGGGTCTTTAATTGAAATTTTCCCTTAAAAGAATGAACATGTGAACCGCACAAATGGCGTTTCCTTTGACGTCGTCAGTACAGTGTCTTCTTGCTTTACTTTATAAGTGCAGTATAACACGTCACTAAACAAGACCCTGTTTCTCTGACTAAAGCGAAAGAAGAGGTCACCCATGATGAGCATAATCTTCAACACGTCCTTAGTTATACTGATTACTATGGCTTTCTCCTACCGCAATTCAATTGTTGCAGCAGCAGCACCTTCTAATGAGTCAGAGGCAAGTGCGCTTCTCCACAGTGGGTGGTGGCCTCGCTCTGTCACCGGCAACACTTCCTTACCTCATTGCTTCTGGCCCGGGGTACGGTGCGACGTCTCTGGGAGCGTAAGTGGGATTCACTTGACAACTGACTACCAAACAGGAGGTAATTTCAGCAACATGAACTTCTCCCTCCTTCCGAACCTCACTTCTCTTCAACTCTTTGGCACCGGACTGGTCGGCGAAATCCCCCTTCAAATTTATACTTTGTCAAGACTAAGTTACCTTGACTTGTCCCACAATTTTCTCACCGGCGAGTTGCCTCCCTTTGTCCAAAACCTCACCAGTCTTCAAGTACTCTGTATCAGTTACAATCACATCAGTGGCTCTATCCCTCTTGAGATGGGAAACCTGATGAGATTGACCCGTTTGGATCTCGAGTTCAATGGGCTTACTGGCGCAGTCCCTCCGACTGTTGGTTGCTTGCACAATTTACAATCCCTCAGATTTAGTTCAAACAAATTAGGTGGCTCTATCCCTGTAGAACTAGGGAACCTCGCAGAAGCTGACGAAGTTGATTTGAGTAGCAACAACTTCACTGGTCCCATTCCATCGTCTATAGGGAATCTGATGAGCTTGACCTATCTTTATTTGCAAAAAAACAAACTCGATGGATCTATTCCTCTGGAAATAGGGAATTTGACGAGCTTGATACATCTCTATTTGCAAGAAAACAAACTTGGTGGATCTATTCCTCCGGAAATCGGGAATTTGGCGAACTTGACTGATCTCTATTTGCAAGGAAACAAACTCAATGGATCTATTCCGTTGGAAATAGGCAATTTAGAGAGTTTGATCTTGCTGAACTTACAGGAAAATAGATTTGATTCACCATCCCATCAAAAATAGGAGATTTAAAGAATCTCGAACGGCTAAATTTGAGCTTGAACAACTTGGTTGGGAAAATCCCTCTCGAACTTGGGAACCTCACATATGTGCAGGATCTTGATTTAAGTTGTAACAACTTTACTGGTCCCATTCCGTCAACTATCGGGAAATTGATGGGGTTGACTTATCTCTATTTGCAAGAAAACAAGTTTGGTGGGAAAAGTGCCAAAAAAGTCCTAAACCTTTTGCATTAGTGCCAATTTAGTCCTAAACCTTTTTTTGGTGCCAATTCAGTCCTAAACCTTTTCCATTGGTGCCAATTTAGTCCTAAACCTTTTTTTGGTGCCAATTAAGTCCTAAACCTTTTAAATTGGTGCCAATTCAGTCCTAAACCTTTTGTTTTTGTGCCAATTTAGTCATTCCGGCCAATTTAGACCTGAATTTGCCTACGTGGACGCCTGCCGGCCGGCGGCCGGTCACCGGCGCCGACGTGGACAACTTTAATATTTTTTTAATATTTTTTTGAATTTTTATTTTTTTCCTTTTTTTTTATTTTTTTTTCCACTTTTTTTTTTGGTTGTCTTCCTCCTTACTCGGCCGGTCGCCGGTCCGGCGACCGGCCGAGGCCGAGGCCGGCGAGGACGAGCCTCGCCTTGGTCGGGCGAGGCTCGAGCCCTCGCCGGAGGCCGCGGCGAGGGCGAAGCCCGACCTCGCGGATCCGGCGAGGTCGACGCTCGACCTCGCCGGATCCGGCGAGGTCGGGCCTCGCCCGACCATGGCGAGGCTCGCCCCGGCCGCGGCCTCCGGCGAGGGCTCGAGCCTTGCCTTGGTCGGGCGAGGCTCGCCTCGCCGCGGCCTCCCGGCGAGGTCGGGCCTCGCCATGGTCGGGCGAGGCTCGCCTCGCCGCAGCCTCCCGGCGAGGGCTCGAGCCTCGCCATGGTCGGGCGAGGCCCGGCCTCGCCGGATCTCGGCGAGGTCGGGCCTCGCCGGCAGCCGGGCGAGGCTCGACCTTGCCAGATCCGGCGAGGTCGAGCTCGCCGGCCACTGGCCTTTGGCCGGTCGCCGGACCGGCGACCGGCCAGATGAAGAAGAAACCAAAAAAAAAAAGTGGAAAAAAAAGAAAAAAAGGAAAAAAATAAAAATTCAAAAAAATATTAAAATATTATTTAATTTGTCCACGTCAGCGCCACGTCGGCGCCGGTGACCGGCCGCCGGCCGGCAGGTGTCCACGTAGGCAAATTCCGGTCAAAATTGACCGGAATGACTAAATTGGCACAAAAATAAAAGGTTTAGAACTGAATTGGCACCAATTTAAAAGGTTTAGGATTTAATTGGCACCAAAAAAAGGTTTAGGACTAAATTGGCACCAATGCAAAAGGTTTAGGACTGAATTGGCACCAAAAAAAGTTTAGGACTAAATTGGCACTAATGCAAAAGGTTTAGGACTTTTTTGGCAATTTTCCCCAAGTTTGGTGGATCTATTCCTCGGGAAATAGGGAACTTGAAGAGCTTGAGTGATCTTTTTTTGCAAGAAAACAAGTTTGATGGATCTATTCCTCTAGAAATAGGGAATTTTATGGGTTTGACTAATCTTCTTTTGCAACAAAACAAACTCAATGGATCTATTCCGTCGAAAATAGGCAATTTGAAGAGCTTGAGCGTGCTGAATTTACGGGAAAATAGACTTGATGGTGTCATCCCATCGAAAATAGGAGATTTAAGGAATCTCGAGCTTCTAGATTTGAGCTCGAACAACTTGAACGGGAAAATCCCTGTTGAACTTGAGAATTTGACCTCGTTAATCTATCTCGATCTTCACAACAATGCTCTTTCTGGCTCAATTTCCACATTTAAAAACAAGTCTCACTTAGTTAGCCTTGACTTATCATACAATCATCTCAAAGGCCCAATCCCAGTTAATCTCATTGCTGCTTTTCCTGACACCTCTTTTATGGGCAACGAAGCCCACAGAAGGTCTAGCGTTATTCATTACACGAGGATGTTCGTTCCCCTGGCTACAATACTCATTTCCTGTATAGTTCTTGGATCGTGCTTCCTATTTCGACGTGCCACAAAGAGCGTGCAATCAGAGACTACAGAGAAAAATGGAAATTTCTTGTCAATATGGAATTATGACGGGAGGATTGCATATGAGGACATAATAAATGCAACAGAGGACTTTGACATCAAATATTGCATCGGGACCGGCGGTTATAGTAGTGTCTATAGAGCGCAGTTGGCCAATGGGAAAGTCGTGGCACTGAAGAAGCTTCACCACTTTGAAGCAGAGGACCCGTCCTTCAACAAGAGCTTTCGGAATGAAGTGAAACATTTGACAGAAGTACGGCATAGAAGCATCATCAAGCTCCATGGTTTCTGTTTACACAGGCGATGCATGTTCTTGATTTATGAGTACATGGAAAGGGGGAGTCTATTCCACGTTTTGAGGGATGATGTCACAGCGGTGGAATTAGATTGGTCCAAAAGAGTCGATCTCGTCCGAGATACGGCACATGCTTTGTCTTACATGCACTATGACCGCGCTCAGCCAATTGTTCATCGAGACATATCTAGCAACAATATCTTACTCAACAGCAAAATGCAGGCTTTTGTATCAGATTTTGGCACCGCAAGACTTCTGGATCTTGATTCCTCATCTAATCTCACTGCAAGTATGGCTGGCACCTATGGATATATTGCACCAGGTGAGCAATCCATTAGTTTTTTTTTTCTTCTGAAAGTTACTACTAGAGGCACTAGTCGGAGATGGTAGTTCTTACGACTTACTGAAGTTTCATCATCCACGCACTTCAATGACTTGTGGTGTTGTATGTACTTTAATTATTTTGAAATTTTTAGATAATTAATATTTATTTTTTACTCTCCCATTGTTTGTATTACTCGAGCTTTTCAATCCCAAGAGTGAATTATGTCCAAAGAAGTATTGTTCTGGTTCTCTAGTGCTTGCTTGCTTAAGCAGTGATCCAAAGTCATGACCCATAATGAAACAAGTTTCGGAAGCTTTTCTAGCCCCAAAACTAACGGTGGCCAAGCCTTTCCATTCAATCTCACTTGCGCAGTTCCAAAAAAAAAAAAATTAAGGAGTATGGTGGGTAAGGTGGATCAACAAAAATCTCGTTAAGCCTACAACAAGAGCAAGGGCCACGAAGTACTTGTCCCAATGCAAATAAATAAAGTCCAACAAGTGAAGAGTTGATTGACAAAATGATGCTGCAAATTGGTGAACGTGGTTGAGTATTTGAAGTATACGGCTTGTGCGATTAGAGTCAAGTCAAACTTCTGTTATACTAGCTTGGCTAAAAGTCAGCGAAGTAGCGAGTTAAAAGCAGTTATCAGACAGTCTATTTGTTTTTGGAATCCTAAACATATTGAATTTGTGTCAATTTAGTCCTAAGCATTTTAATTTTGCCAAATTAATCCTAAACCTTTTGACATAGTATCAATTCAGTTATTCCAGCTAATTTTGGCTAGATATTACTTACGTGGACGCCAGCCGGCTTACATGGCACAACCGGCGCTGACACAGACAATTTTAAATAATATTTTAATATTTTTCAATTTATTTATTATTTTTTCTGATTGTTTTTCTTTTTTTCTTTCTTTTTCTTCATTTCTTCTTCTTTTGAAGGTAATTGGCCACCGGACACCGGCCATGGCCGAGTAGGCTGGCGTCGCTTGGGCGAGAGTTGTCGTCGCCTGCCACAACAAGGCCTGGCTCGGTGAGGGCGAGCCTCGACAAGGGTTCTGCTCACCAAATCTGGCGAGGCCGCCCTAGCTTGGGCGAGGGCAAGCCTCACTCGATCTAGCAAAGGGAACCTTCACCGGGGCTTGCCCAGGCTGGGCCTCACCTATGGCGGGCGACGGTGACCCTAGCCCTAGTGAGATCAAGCCCACTTGACCATGGCTAGTGGCTGGCCACCGGCAAAAGAAATAAGAAAGAAAAAGAAAAGAAAGAAAAAAATCGAAAAATATTAAAATATTATAAAAAATTGTTCACGTTAGCACCGATCGTGCCACTTAAGCTGGCCATCGTTCACGTCAATAATATCCGATCAAAATCAGTCTGAAGAACTGAATTGGCACTATGTTAAAAGGTTTAGGATTAAAGTGACACAATTAAAAGATTTATGACTAAATTATTGACACCAATGCAATAGGTTTAAGATTTTTCTAACACTTTTCCTGTTTATTTTTAGTCTTTTTAGTTATATGGGAATGCATGATGATTGATAATGCGTTGTTCTTGCCATGAATGTTTGGCGTGTTAAGGACATTCACTATGTATTTGCCATGGTGTCCAGCACGAGCCCCAAATCTGTGCATTATGAAGACTTAGGCACCTTCACTTGTCCTGCAATTCTCTCACCAGTGTGCTGCCTCCCTCTCGGGAGAACCTTACCAGGCTTCGTGTTCTTGACATTTATCATAAAATCTTAGATTCAATGCACTTAGCAATCCCTTAGACGCACGGTTGCTTGTACAATATGCAATAGCTCAGCTTCACCTCAAACAAATTGGGCAGCTCCAAACCCTCACATCGAATCATGTTGGTTTAAGCCGCAACAACTTCATCGGTCTCGTTCCGTCATTTATAGGGAATTTGACGAGCTGGAAATATCTCTATATGCAAGAGAATGAAATTTAGCGGATCTTATCCTCCAGAAATTGGGAACTTGACTTATCTCTAATTGCAAGGAAACTAACTTGATGGATCCACTCCGTCGGAATTAGGCAATTTGGAGAACTTGATTGATATGAGCCTAAATCCGAATATCTTCACTTGCCCCCTCCATTCACGTCTGGGAAATTTAACAAGCTTGATCGTGCTGATTTATGGGAAATTAGATCGACCGTGCCATCCCATCGGAAACAGGAGATATAAGAAATATCAAACTGCCAAATTTGAGCTTGAACAACTTCGTCCGGAAATTCCATGTTTGAAAGTGTCCTGTTTTTTCCGAACTTAAATCCAAAGTTTATTGATGCACTTCACGTTTCTTTCATTTGCATTTCTATTATTCTTCTTTAATGTCGCAAGAAAGTGATATGATCAATTGGTTTTCCAATACTAGATCATCTTATCAAAGGTTGTTTATATTATAAAATAACATTCTCGCGGATGAATAGTTTTGTTGGGGTACAACCCCAAGAGGTTTTAGGTAATTCTAGATCAAATAA